AATGTTCCTGCAAAAGTTCCTGTACAGGATCCCTGTTCCAATATCCTGCAAGTGATCCTAGTGTGATCCTGTGTAGAATTCTTAACAGGATTCCTCAGGGAACCTATAAGAATCCTATATTGTAACCTCTAAAAATCCTTTAAGGATTATATACAGGAATTTTTTTAACTAATTGTAAGTATGTTTCAAAATTCAAGACTAAGGTTTTATTACAAGTGTTTAGGAAGTAAACTTCAACTTTGCAGTGGTTTTTTTACATTCTCATCATAATGAGAAGGAATTACATTTGGGCGATTTTGAGCATTCTCTAATTCCAGTGAATCTCGACGTTTTTTTTATAACTCCAACTGTTGTTTTCCATTTCCAAACATTGCAATTGTTTTCAAAAATTCCTCTATTTTAAAATAGTTTATATTGCGCTGTTAATACCACAATTTCGTATTTTTTCGATTATTCACATTTGAATTGGTTTCAACTCATTTATTTATAGATTGTTTAAATTCTCATCATAAGTTAGAAAGTATTCATTTTGGTCGATTTTGACTTTTTTCTAATTTTAGTGAATCTGTACGTGAATGACGTTTGTCGTCTGTAGTCTGTCTGTGGACTCATTTTGTCCCCACGATAACTTGAACATATCTTAACGAATCGCTTTGATATTTGGTACACGCTTTCAACATGTAAAAATAAAGCCTGAGTTCGTTTGACAGACTAATCCGCCCAAAAATTCAAAAATTATTCAAATTTTTAAAAATTTAAAGTCTTCTTGAAAAAATTTTTTTTTTTAATTTTCTCTTAAAATACTCCCAAAAGTAAACTTTTTTTTCTTTAACCCTTTTCGATACAGATTAAAACAAAAAAGTTATGTTCTATTACGTTTAAGGTAACAAAAATTTTAAATTTTTTTCGATGTGTTATTTTACTCATTAATTTTTTGCGGCACAGTTTTAACCTATTTTGCCGCCTTTTCTTTTAGTAACTTTCCTCTCTATAGATTTAAAGTTTTTGAAGCAGTATTCATAAAACATTTTTTTCCACTATAACGAAAGCATTGTGAAGTGAAACAAAAATATATATTATTATATAATTATAAATTAACTATTTTTTAAGAGAAAATTCATTTTTCAACAATCTTTTAACAAATTTAAATAAATCTTTCTACTCCTTGGTTTTTTAGGTCGCTCATTACGATTCTGAAGTCAGTTTTTAAATATTCAAAATGGCGTATTGAAACATTTTTGACCCGATATTTTTAGCATTTATAGGTATTCTGAAGGGTTAAGATTTGAAAAAATTAAAAAAACTGAACAAAAATTCTAAAAAAACCTTTTTTTAATGCTTGTAAATTGTTTATTTAAAAATTTTCGGTTCTTTAAGCACACTATTTGATATAGCCTCAAATTAGCTGTAAAAATTTTATTAATGAGTTAATGCCATCCCTACTTTTCCAATTGTATGCTTCTAATTTTTGAGCGTGAAACGCGAGTGTCGTGATGAGAATGTTATCCTTAAAGTCAAAGTACTTTAAGAAAATGAAATTTAATTTATAAAAACCAAAAATTTCACTTATATAAATTGTACAAAAAAATTTTTATGAATAAAAACATGAGGGCAAAACCTCATATAATAAATTTGTTGATTTAAAAATGCATTTACTTTAAAGTTCTTTTTTTTAATGTTTTTAAATTTTCAATTAATTTTTTCTTTTACTCAATTGAAATTAGTTCAAAGGAGAATATCTTATTTTAGTAAATAATTTGGTTTGTCGATTTTCGTTAATTACAAAGACCTGGCCAATCAACGGCGCAAAATTAAGGAACTAAGTTTGAACAGCTGCAGTGCCGCTATTCTCTTTTTTTTCTCGATAAAAAATGTATTCTAATACCTTTAAAACTTACCTATTTGTATAATTTAATTTAACGCATTTTAATAAAGACTATGAGTTGTTTCTAATAAATTTTTCAAAACAAGTCGATTATATGAAGCTCCCCTTTTAAAATAACTACTTTTGTACTTATTTTAACTCTGTGTGTAATTAATTTTACTCTTTTTAATAAAATTAATAAAAATAATTTCTTTCTTCTTCACATTTTACTTCAAAAGTAATTAAATCAACAACAAAGTCTGAAACAACTACAAAATCTCATTCTACCAAATGGATTCTTGGGTCATTCAACTACTTTCTGGTAGTATAATTAATACAATTTTTAATTTTAATTGAAAAATTTTTGAATTACACAGTGTAGTTAAAAAGCAATTAATGCTACTAGGTTTTGAATTCTAATAAACAAACAAAGAGCGTAGCGCGATGCTTAAACGATGCGGCAGGGGGCTGCTGGATTTTTTTAGGAGAAAAAATTCTTTTCCAAAAATTAATTACTTAATTTTTATCTACCTTGTATAATTAAAAAATTCCTCAATTAAATTTAAAAATTGTATTAATTATACTATCAGAAAGTAGAACTAATAGTCTTTATAAAAATGAGTTAAATTATATTTTAAAAATAAGTTTTAAAGGTACCTATTAAAATAAATTTTTTATTGAACAAAAAAAAGAGAGAAGCGGTTATGTTAGATAAAAGGTTGTACATAGAGATTTAATTAGAAAATTATGATATATGTATTTCAACAAAACTTGCTTTGCAAATAGGTCAATCAATGTGTTTTTAAATTTTCTTTAAGTATGTCATATGTTAGTTCTAAAGTAAAATTAAGATTTTTTATAATAAAATTAGAATTTTAATTCTACAAATGGAAACAATAAATGCGTTTTTTTCAAAATCAAGTTTTTCAAATTTGTGGAATTTGCAGTTCATCAAATATTAATTCGATTTATTTCGTTTAGGGCATAAAATAAAGATAATAAAATATACATCGTTATAAACATGAAATATTTATGATTATAATTTACGAAACGCAATGACAAAAATTCTCGACTAAAACAAAGTCTTAAATTAATTCGAAAATTATTTTATTTTTAAACCCTTCGCAGTCTAGTAGAAAAATCGTTTGTGGGCCCAAAACGGTCCAAAAAAGTTTCTAAAGAAATATTATATAAATGTATTAAAAGTTTTTGGAGTCGCTGAATCCAAATTTAAGGTCAGATTTAAAAAAATACAAAATGGCGGACCCAATATGGCTACCCAATATGACAGAAAAATTTGAAATTGATACGATATTCGTTCAAAATTCGGTGCTAGGGGGTTTGTGGGGTCGGTGAATCAAAATTTTGAGGATACATTTAACAAATTAAAAATTTGAATTCATAGACTCCAAAAATCTCCGAGTACCGAATTTTGAATTAATCAAATCAATTTTAAATTATTCCGCCATATTGGGCCCGCCATTTTGAATTTTTTAAATCTAACCTCAAATTCGAATTCAGCGACCTCGAATACTTGGATACTCATTGATACTTAAATCGAAGTAGGTTTAGAATTGTTTTCAAATCTGGACATATACGTCCAAAATCACAAAGGCGGCACGACTTTTTTTGGACATATATGGGCCATCGACTGTCAAGAGGTTAGATTTTTTTTTGGAGGTATTTTTTAAAATCCTTTTGTCCATTTTGAGATATTAGTGTGATAAATAAGTCTAACAAATTTTACCCAAATCCATTAAAACCTGTTAAAGTTATCGTGTTCACAAAAAAGGGGTTCACACATACATACATACATACACACACACACACACATACATCCGGACAATTGATCAGGATCTCATATAACATGTTTCTATATAGAAAAAAATTTGTTTTCACCATTTTAAAAATTTTTATAAACGAAAGGACTACAAAGCTTCCTCAATGAGGAAGCAAAAAAAAAAGTTGAAATTTTATGAGTAAGTTACTCTAATTTACGTTAATTTAAGGTGGTTTAAACAGAAATAATTAATAGTTGAACATAGTTTTTCATCCGTTTTTGACATTTTTTGTCTTTTTTTAAAAAAAAGATGTATAACTTTTTTGTTTTAATCGCTATTAAAAATTGTCCGAGGAAAAAAGTGTTTATTTTTACTTGTAATTTTCGAAAAAAAATTGAAAAAATTTTTTTTTCTGAAAAATGCGAATTTTTGAAATTTTTAAAAACTAAAAATATATATATAATTATATATAGGTAACTGCACCAGTGGTGGATCAATTAAGTTTACTAAATTTATTATTTTGACTTTCAAGGTGTACAGATTTTTTCAGATGAAAAATATAGGGTAATCTTTACAATAGTATGAATTAACAAGTCTTCAAGGACACTATCGTGTAGTTTTCGACCTGCTTGTAACGTTTACACCGCCTCACACCCACATTCAACAATAAAATGACATTGCTCCAGTTGTGGATCATTTACCCCTTTACACTACACAAAAATAACTTAATGATGTAAATTTTTTTCCAAAAGAATTCTATATGGAAAGAATTGATTACTTTCTACTCTAAAAATTAAAAAAATTTAGACTGAACAATTATTTTTTAAGATTTCATGTGAAAAAGCATAAAATCAACAATTGTTGTATTGCTTTGTTTTCCTAAATATTTTCAAATGATTTTATTTCATAAAACTTATCTATACACCTCCCCTAAACGATTGAAACATTTAGTTCAATTAGAAATAGCTTATTTTAACCTTTTTAACGCTGTTGATCCACCATTGGTGCCTGATCCACCACTGGTGCACATACCCTATAAATAAATTTTTTTTAAATAATTAATTATATTTTTCTATTTTATTTATTTTTTTCACTTAAAATAAAAAAACAATTTATATAAAAAATATATATAATTTTTATTTCCTTGTTGACTTATTCAAAAAAAGTTTCATTGATTTAATGTTTTCGTCATCGATTAACGTCATAGATAATGAATTTCTGTTAATTTTTAATCACCTATACAAACAATAAAAACTAGAAATGGTTACTTGCGTCTAATATTTTTTATAAAAAGACATTTTTTTTATTCTAATTTATTATAAAGAACACAAATAGACGCAATAGCAACTATATATTATTGTTGAATTATTCCAAAAAAGTTCTATTGATTTAATATTATCGTCATCGATTAACGTCATCGATTATAAAAATTCTGCCGATTTTCACACCTATGTAAACTGTAAAAAATATATAAAAAGTAAAAGTTAACTAATTTTTTATCAAAGTTGTCAAACGAGTAGTCACTCGTGAAATAGTAAATCATGATTTCGTTAATATTAATAAAATTGCTTCTAATATTTGTGTCGAGTACAATTTCACAGCCTACACTGCCATGGAATTTGACAGTAAGTTTTTAAAATATTAATTAAAAGATAAATGTGCCTCATCACCACATGCATTTTTCATTTAACTATAAATTCATCTTTTAGCTAACTGCACGAGCTATCGAGCCTTTAGTTCGAGATAATTCAGGATCACTGACCAATCAAAGACCTAATTATCAAACCTTCAATGATAATACTAATTTTGGTATAATAATTAAACAAGGTACAACATTTAGCTTAACGGTAGAGACACCTTCTAAAATAGAAGATTTAAAGTTTTTCTGTTTTCCTTATCCACAACATGAAAAAAAATTAATCAAATTAAATCTTACCGGAAAAACAAATTGCACAAATACATTAACAACAAATTATAATTGTGTACCTATGGTATCCGCATCAAAAAATGTTCCATTACGGATGATAATTAAAACCAAAAACTGGTTTCCATTGTCAACTAACAAGTCTAATGATGTGTCACTTCCAAAATCACAAGGAAAAGGAATTTCACACAAATTAGAAAATAATTTAAAATATGAATTTGATGCCTTGGGTTTGAATGATGAAGTATTTTTAAAAATATTTATAAATTACAAGAACATGACAATAGAATTACAACAATTGCAAAAAGGAGTTCATGCATACTTTAAACAAGAAGTATATTTTTGGATCAGTTTAGAACGAAATGGTTTATCAATTTTTGAGTATAAATTTTTAGGTTGTCCCCCATGTGGTACAAAGCTTATTAATGCGGTGGAAAAATTTGAGTTAAATGATGTAATTCATTTTTATCATGCCGAACCAGGTCGTTTTAAATCAAATCTCGAAGGATTAAATAATGAATCAGAAAGAAAGAAATTTCTTTTGTCAAATAAAGGTTTGCAGACTGTTAAAAGACCAGAATTAAATAATTTAAAATATTCATTTCATGCATTAGGTTATAAGGATTTGGAATTTTTAACAATATTGATAAATTACAAGAACATGACAATAGAATTACAACAATTGCAAAAAGAAGTTCATTCGAGTTTTGGTTTATACTTTTCGATCAGTTTAGAACGAAATGGTTTATCAATTTTTGAATATAAATTAATAGGTTATCCCGCATATGATATCCCGCTTATTAATGCGGTGGAAAAATTTGAGTTTAATGATGTAATTCGTTTTTATCATGCCGAGCCAGGTCGCTTTATATCATTTTTCGAAGGATTAAATTATAAAAAAACAAGTAATACTTTTATTTTATCAAATACAGGTTTGGAGACCTTAAAATAAAATGGAACAGAATTAAATAATTTAAAATAATCATTCGATGCTTTAGTTCTTGTTGATAAGATGTTTTTAAAAATATTTTTTGTAGTGTAGCACATAGCCATAATTTTGTTTTAACACAGTAGGGTTTGCGCCATGCCACATTAATGATATGATTCTTACAATAATTTTTTTTAATGCAATAAAATTGTTAAATTTAATTTGGAATTGAAAATAATTTTAAGTTACAATGCATTATATTAACATTAATTTGCAAATTATATTCGTACATTGCGGTTTTAATGACTTGGAAGCGTACACTCCAATGAAATTGGGATGAAAACTAGATTAATTAAGTCTAGTATAAATTACATACATAAACTATGAAATATACTATAATAGAATGTTTATTAAACAATATTAATAATGTAACTTATGTTAATTTATGTATTATGAGAAATATATAATTTACAATAAATATATAAAATATACATAACTATTAGTCAGATTATTATTTTTTATATGCTCTTATAATGATAATTATTTTTGTGCCAAAGAATCATCTCGCCGAATCAAGTCAGAGTACATGTTAACGAATTTTTATTTCAACAAATTATTTAATTATTTACACTGAAGAGGACATTAACGTTGATGTCGAAACGTCTGATGGTATATTATTAATAAAATGAATCATTTTAATCGAGTATAATTCTGTATTTTTACTGGGAGTCGATTATGTAATTTGATTTGACTTTGACGTCAAATTTATTTTTTGATTGCAATACATCAAATTGCTATCAAAAAATAAATTTGAATGCGACGTTAAATTGAAATAAAAAATTAAATTTTAATTTAACGTCTAAGTTAAATAAAACAATGAATTTGTTGAATTAAATTTGACTTTGACGTTAAAATGAATTTAATTTTGACGTCAAATCAAATTACATAATCGACACCCAGTGTATATTCACTGGAACCTAATCTTAATATATATTCTTTTAACATTTTTTCGAATCACTCAATCTATGTAAAGGTATTCTAGTGGATTTGGAGTATGCAGCATCTTCAATATCTGTGCACCTTTTTAATTGATATTTTTCTTGATTGTCAAGTAACTTTGAATTTTCTTCTCTAATTTTAATCCATTTCTCTTTCTTAATTGGTTTTTGAACTATTTTTGATCTATTTGTAAAATAGGCTCTCTTTTAATGTAATAAGTATTCTCCACAGTAAACTCAATTTCCGGAAATAAAATTTATCGGTTTTTCAAAGTATGCTGAAATTCAGAAAGATCAATAAATCGAAATTGAGAATTCATCGTTAAGTGAAAACGTACTTCGTTCTCTAAGGCAAAATTTGACAATTTTTTGGGTGCAATATCTGTCAAAAAAGTAAGATCATTAAAATAAAACACTTTTTCTTTTAAATTCTCCAAACCCTTAACAAAGGTACTTTTATTTCTTTTTAAAAAATTATATACTTCTTATTCCAAATCGGATTTTTTAGACTTCGAAATATTTATTCTTTTCATTTATAATGTAAACTCGAATAAACAAACGTCAATTCAAATGTTCAAAAGAAAAGAATTCATGGTAAGAAAAAAATAATTCATTGTAACGTTCCAATTCAGTTTTTTCGCCAAACCGAATTCAGCTTAAGTTACCACCAATTCTTTTCGCTTACTCCTAATTTTTATTTACTGGGAAGTTCCTTGCGAAGTATGTTGTCCAGATTGTTTTGAAGTTGACGGAATATTATCAATTACCAATTCTCCTTGAACAATAGGTTGTCCAGTTTCCATCGATTTTCCAAAATCAATAACTTTGAAACTTTCTCGTGGATTTAGATTAATATAAAATTTATCATTAGTTGAAAATAATGTATTTAACTTTTTTACCGAATTAACCATTCGTCCTTCTTTTGTAATTTCAACATCCTGCAATACCAATGTGAAAAAATCAAATCCATTAACGGGTGTAATTTCTTTCCCGAAATTTTGCAATTTGATTGTGTCATGAATATAATACACATCCTTTGGAACTTCGAAATAATTAGGATCAATGTACACTATTCCAGATGGATTTTTAATTTCATATTTCACCAATAGGAATAGGTTTAATTCAGTAGTCAAGCGAACATTTTTTATAGCATCTTCAGCATTAGAATAAACAAGAAAATTTTTTGTTTTAAATTGCTTACGAAAATTTTTAATTGATAACATTTCTTGCCAAATTTTGCTATTTACTGGGCAAGCACCATAAAGTATGTTTGGAATTTTAATAAATTTATTATCACACTGTCTAAGGGCCAATCTGTTTAGTGCAGCTGAAAAACATCTTTGTGCATGTAAATTTTTTGGTAAAGTTTTTGCCAAATGTGAATACAGTACATAATAATCCTCAAATCGCATACTTTGCCGAATTGAAAGTAACTTATACATTTCATACACAGTTTCAACATTCTGTAAATGAGTCTCATCAAAAATATAATTTATAGTTTGTTTTGCAATTTCCAAATTTTTAACCTGATATGCAGATTCTTCAAATAGAACATCATCAATAAAAATGTGATTTGTTATTTTCCATTCGTTAAATCTTTCAGAAGGTATTATACCTGCATTTATATCACCTGCCAACATTTCATAAGTAGGAACACGAGTTTCAATTGGATCAATTCTTAAAATGTAACCTTTTAAGAATTTTTCCCTTTCAGTTACTCTACGCAGAGGAATGTTTAATGAGATAAGATTAGCCGCATTCTCGATATTTACACTTCTTGGATATGTATTTACTTCTTTATTATTCAGTGAAAAGCTATACTTCATTCTTTGTTTTTGCCAATTTAATTTCAATATTGGCTTTTGTTTTAGTTCTAAAAGTAAGAAATCCTTTCCATTTTTGAATTCAGCATTTACTACGTGAAATTCGAGTTCTGGAAAAACAACAAATTGGTTTTTCCAACTCTTATCAAATTCAGCCAAATCAACAAGTCCATATTGAGAATCAATTGTCATGTGATAACGAATTTCTGTTGTTAAGGAGTATGATTTCTTATTAACAAGATTAATTTCACTTGGACGAATATCTGTCAATAGGGTAATATCATTGAAATAAAAATCCTGTCCTTTCATTTGCTCCAAATACTTAACAATATGGGGTCTGTTTAATGTTTGTTTAAACCACAGTTCTTTTGGCATTTCATGAAACATCATGTCTTGATTCCAACGTATTTTCTCGATATTCTTTTGTAACATTATTAATCTTTCTTTCTTTTTGTATAAATCAGCCCAATTTTTAGGTTTTAAGTCTTCTAAAGATAATAACATTTCACGATAATTATTTTCTCCATACCAAAGTGAAGATTTGAAGTTACTTCGAACCAATCCTTCAGATAGCCTTGAAGTTGACGGAATGTTATCACTTTGTAATTCCCTTGGCACGTTTCCTTGTGACGTATCTGGTTTCATTGGCGTCTTATTCCATTCATTCGTATTATGATAAACTATATAATCTTTTATTATTTTCCTATCTTCATCTAAATTAAGATAAGGAATAAGTTGTCGAATAATTTCATCTCTTTCCATTCCAGACACATCAATATTTGTCAAACTTTTCTTAGAATAAAGGTCTCCAGATCCCTTTGAAGTTTCGGGAATAACTTTATAAGTAGGTATTATTTTCGTATCTGCATTAAGATAAGGTAAGTCACTTCGGAGTAGATCATTTTCTCCCATTTCCAGTTTCACATTAGAAATTTCAGTAGTTGCTGGAATATATTCACGATAGAAAATTTTGTTTATGTCATCTTTTGTTGGCAACACGGGAACTTGAAATGGATTGCCTTCAATGGTTCTTAGTTCTGCAGTATTTCCAAATGATGATATGCATGTGGGTCCAAAGAAATTTTCACCGTTAGGATAATAGTATTGAACGAGTTTATAATTATTCTCGTCTCTAAGAACCTTTGGTATCAGACCATTAAATGTTGACAGTTTCATATTCCTATTAAGCTTTTTTAACACAGTTGTTAATAACAATTTTAGATTTGTATTGATCTTTGGAATGTTTTGAATCATAGTGTTATATATCTTGTGCAATTTTTGGTAGCCAAACTTGCCTAAGTTGTTGATTAATTCAATTCCAGGATCTATAACTCGTAGGAAGGTAATAGATAAATCTTTTAACAGGTGCTTGGTAAGAATTTCCTGCGAAACGGATCTCGCCAACACTTTTGAAATTTGATATAATGAAGTTAATCTACTGGCACTTGCTGTACTTGCAAAAGTACTTCTAATTAAATATTTTTTGCCAGATCCAATGATAAAGTTGTCGCTTATTTTTGTTGCGTATTTTGTGGCAAGACTTACTCCAGGAATTAAGGAGAGAACATCTGAAGGACAGCTTATTGCGGCTCCAATTTTGCTATCCGCTTTTACGCTTTCAATACAATTGTAAAATGGTACAAGTATTTTTAGAAAATTAAAAACCTTCTCTTTTGTAGTTTCATTTTTATAGTCGACCATTAGCTTATTTACAAATTGTCTTGTCTTTATTTCGGCAATCCTTTCAATAAATGCTTCGCTATCTTCATGAGCGAATTTCAAATCATTGGCAATTATATTTATTTCCATTTCTGTATATGGATCATTAGCAATTACATTACCAAACTCTTGTTTGTTATCACTTCTTACGAGTAATGACAAAACATTATCGTTATCTATAATGGCATAAAAATCTGTTTTTCCTTCTTCTTTAATTGCAAACAGTAGGTATACTTTGGGGTTTATCTTTCTTGCCATAGGTGGCATGTTTGCCATGTACATTGGATAATCTTTTGCTTTTGCATCACTAACAATAGATTTTGAGTCTAATTTTTCTATTACTTTACTGTCATTTAAAACTTTTCTTATTGCAATCTTTTCAATTTCATATTTTGTCTTTCTTACATTTCCAAACTGTTTCTCATAAACAACTTGCAATTCGGGTAGATTTTTTACGGAACAACCAGAAGGAACACTTATTTTTGTAAAGAAATGATAATATGACATATAGTTTGTCACATATTCATTTTCATGTTTTTTAAAACCAGAATAGTTACAATGTTTCTCTAGTATAGTTGTTGCCAATAATCTTCGATTTTTTAATTCTTTCATTTCCTTTTCGAGTTTGTAATAAAGGTTGTTTTCAAAATAATGATTTTCAATTTTATTCATTTCTAAATTAATATTTGAAAATAAATTTTCATAAACTTCATTCCAAAATTCTGCATTAAACGAAGTTTGATATTTCTCCCTGAATGTTTCTTTTTCCTTAGAGGCGTAAAAAAATAGTGCCGGTGTTGAAAAAGCTGCTAACATTATTTCATAAGTTTCGGTACCGTAAGCCTCTTGTAAATCAAACTCTCGTGTAATTGAAATTAAATCACCAAACGAAGCGTTTAGAGTTTCTCCAAGTATGGATTTGACAATTTTTAAACCAGCCATTGCGTATAAATAATCCACTTCCATTATGTTCATATCTTTATTTTCTGGCTCGGGAAATATTGGCAGTAGATATTCAAAAAACACTTTTTTAGCAGACAAAAAAGTGAGTTTCTTGCTTTTGTTTGTTTTTAAACAGTAATCTATACTGGTGTAATTGTTAAAGAGTTCCTGCTTTATGGTTTTCATAAGTTTGGAATAAGATGTATTATCTGCCTTGTTGATTATACCTGCTAAATATCCGGTAATATGTCCATAGTGAGAAAAGAGAGCAGTGTTTAAGATGTACTGGTATGTTTCATTTACATATTTCAAATCGAGTGTTTCATTTTCGCCGCCACCATAAAGATCAGTTCCTATTAGTACATTTTTTAGAAGTTGGAGTTTTTTCTCGGATACATTGTTGGAATTATGAAGGTATTGAAAATAAGTATTGAGTACAGGGATAGTTTGATTTCGCTGCTTCAACGTAATTAGGCCTTTGTTATAAAAGATAACTCCGAGAGTGGTAATGTAGTGACAAATAGATAGGAACTGAAAATTCGATGAATATTGTACGAAAACTGATGTGTCGTTCATCATGAGCCGATTCGGTTATTGTTGTTTTTATTTTTCAATGTTTTTACAGTTGCTGTTGTATTTTTACACTTTTGTAAAGTTTTAATTTTTCCTTAGAAAACCTGAAATAATTTTACTTTTTGTTTAATTGAGCTTTTTAATACAAGGATCGGTTGAGCGGTCGGATAAAATATAATTTTTTAAATTAGACCTATTTAGAAGGGAAGTTATAAATAATTATATAAATTTAAAAAATCTTGTACTTTTCTGATGAAGTAACCGTTAAAAAATTATATGTACATTTTAAGAATTTTATGGAGACCTCACACTAATTCAAAAAGAGCAATTTTTCACGTCTGTGAAGTAGGCCGGAACATACCATGATATTAGTATTAGCAATTCACTAACTTTTAGGGCTCAGTTAAGGCTAACAGGGCTTCCATACCCTAAATTTTAGGTTCTAATTTATTTTTTAAATTAAGGTTCCTGCTAGCTTCACATTGAAAAAAAATCTAATTAATACTGTATTTAGTCGATATTTTATTTGATCGAAATTCTAAATGATTGATATTTAAAGTGGTCGACATTTTATTTGGTCGATATTTTGTTTATTCGAAATTCTAAATGATCAATATATAAAGTGGTCGATATTTTATTTGGTTGAAATTTTAAATGGTCGACATTTTATTTAGTCAATATTTTATTTGATTGAAAATCTAAATGCTCGATATTTAAAGTGGTCGACATTTTATTAGTTCGATATTTTGTTTGGTCGATATTCTAAATGATCCACATTTAAAGTGGTCGATATTTTATTTGTTTGATATTCTAAATGATAGAAACTACATAGAAAGGAAACTCGTATAGCTAAAAAAGTGTCGAGCTTTAAAAATATCGACCAAATTAAATTTTGATGAATATAAAATTCGATGCTTCTAAATTTCAATCATTTAGAATATCGAACAAATAAAATATCGACCACTTTAAATGTCGTTCATTTAGAATATTTACCAAACAAAATATCTAACTAATAAAATTTCGACCACTTTAAATGTGGATCATTTAGATTTTCGGCCAAATAAAATATCGTCTAAATAAAATGTCGACCACTTTAAATATCGACCATTTAGATTTTCGATCAAATAAAATATCTACTAAATAAAATGTCGGTTATTTAGAATTTCGACCAAATAAAAAATCGACTGAATAAAATGTCGACCTTCATAAATGTCTATCATTTAGAATTTCGATAAAATAAAATATTGACTAAATAAAATATCGGCCACTTTAAATATCGATCATTTAGAATTTCGAATAAGTAAAATATCGACCAAATAAAATGTTGACCATTTTAAATATCGATCATTTATAATTTCGTTCAAATAAAATATTGACTTAATGTAATTCGATCAATTCAATTTTCGACCTTTTTAATTTTTGGGAAAAATCATGCGCCTCATTTTTTTTCAGAGAAAACTTAAAAATAATTAAATTTCTCATCTTGATATTATTTTTGTGCTACAAATATTTTTTTTGTTATATTTTCGTAATACAAAATTAAGTAACTAATAATTACTTTATTTAGTTAATGAATTTATTTACAGAGAAAATTTGACAAAAAATTATTTTCTCATCGTGATATTTTTTTTGAGCTACCAATAATTTTTTTACAAAGAAAATTTTAAAAAAATTATTTCCTCATGGTGAAATTTTTTTTGTGCTACTAGTAATTTTTTTGTTAATTATATTCTCATCGTGATATTTTTTTAGGTTACAAATAATTGTCTTGAAAAAATTTTTTTTAATACGAAAATTTAACAAAAAAATTATTTTCTTTATCGTAATATTTTTTTTGTCCACAAATTTTTTTTTGTCTAATTTTCGTTAAAAATAAGTAATTAACGAATTATCAAGTATGACATTATGTTATTAATAATTATTTATGACATTAGTTATTTATTAAGTTAATTATTTGTCATATTTAAAATCAAATAAAATATGTAATAAAATCAAATTTTTCAAATGTTTCCGCGCTGCGCTGATGGCTCAGCTCTGGACTTTAGTTCGCTCAACGCCCACGGTGCGCGGGAACGAGCTTAGAAATTGACAAAAATGACGACAAAATCTCATAGTGCCATCTTTTTTATCACTTAACATTATGTAAGAAAATGTTTTTCCCAAACTCTAAATCGCAGAGTTTCGCGTTTTTTAAATCATTTTCTAAAAAAAATAACTTTTTAACACTAAATCTTTTTTAATGCTTTAAACTTTTTTATATATAGATGATTAAGATTAATTATTTTTATTTTAGCATAAATTATAAATTTGGTCATAAAATACAAAAGTTAAACTTTTTATACATGACAAAAGAGATCATAAGCTACTGCTCAAATTTAAACACTGCGTGACATGAGAATTTACTAGTAATCCAGTCAAGTTAGTCTAAAAACAAGGCATATCATGTTTTAACTCAGGACCTCAATTTTTTTCCCTTAAACCCTTCATTTTGGGGTAAAAAGAAAGTACCTAAATTTGGTACTTCGAACTGCTACCGGAACCTAAAATTTTTCTTAAGAAAAAGGTGCAAAAATTCAGTTTTCAAATTTCCGCCTTTCATGACATTTTATCATAAAAGCTGACAAAATTTCTGACTATTTACAAAAAAGTACAATGCAATAGCTCTAATAGTTTCCGATATACAGTCTCTCAAAGTTGACCCTTTTGAGATTTTACATACAATGGTAATAAAATGAGATTCTATGTAAAAATTTCAAAAGGGCCATATTTGAGAGAGCAGTTCGAAGTACCAAATTTAGGTACTTTCTTTTTACCCCAAAATGAAGGGTTTAAGGGAAAAAAATTGAGGTCCTGAGTTAAAACATGATATGCCTTGTTTTTAGACTAACTTGACTGGATTACTAGTAAATTACCATGTCACGCGGTGTTTAAATTTGAGCAGTAGCTTATGATCTCTTTTGTCATCTATAAAAAGTTTAACTTTTGTATTTTATGACCAAATTTATAATTTATGCTAAAATAAAAATAATTAATCTTAATCATCTATATATAAAAAAGTTTAAAGCATTAAAAAAGATTTAGTGTTAAAAAGTTATTTTTTTTAGAAAATGATTTAAAAAACGCGAAACTCTGCGATTTAGAGTTTGGGAAAAACATTTTCTTACATAATTTTAAGTGATAAAAAAGATGGCACTATGAGATTTTGTCGTCATTTTTGTCAATTTCTAAGCTCGTTCCCGCGCACCGTGCGCCACAGGGAGGGTGAACATCATAACTGTTTCTCGCAGTTGAGGTGCCATTAGATTGGTATATAAGCAGTGATCGAAAATTTTTTTCTTGTCGAAATTTTTTTCTGCCCGATGTCTCTCCTATTTATTAGATTTGAGACAAATTCTTTTTTGAATGAAATGTTTTCACTAATACTTTGATAAACATTTTTTTATTTTAATACATACACTACCGTCCGAAATTGTGCGAACTCTGCTTTTTCAGCAACTATAAAACTGTTCAAATCTTCAAAAATATTAAAACTAAAATTTTTTTCTCTTTATTTTATTAAAGTTAATAAAATTCTGAAAGAAATGACACCTTGACAAAGAGAATATGTTAATTTTTCAATTAGATATCTAAGAAAAACCCAATTTTCAATGTTTTTACTATTTTTTTTTTCTCTGGCAAAAATTAATATTTTTAAACGTTCTTAGGCTCATTGAAATCGTATTTTGTTATGCAATTCAAATTATATAAAACAATTCATGTACACATTCTTCCCTAGCGTATGCAAACCATGAAAGTTGGCTCATAAGATGTCAAAAAATTTAAATTTAATTCTACAATAAAATATAATGTTTAAAAATCAAGTAAATATATCATTCTAAACTTCTCTGATTTATGTAAGTAAATTTAAGATTTCTACATTTTACTGATCATTTTTTGTCATATAAATATTAATCACAATTTTTTGACATTTTATGAGCCAACTTTCACGGTTTGCATACGGTAGGGAAGAATGTGTACATGAATTGTTTTATATAATTTGAATTGCATAGCAAAATACGATTTCAATGAGCCTAAGAACGTTTAAAAATATTAATTTTTGCCAGAGAAATAAAAAAAATAGTAAAAACATTGAAAATTGGGTTTTTCTTAGATATCCAATTGAAAAATTAACATATTCTCTTTGTCAAGGTGTCATTTCTTTCAGAATTTTATTAACGTTAATAAAATAAAGAGGAAAAAATTTTAGTTTTAATATTTTTGGAGATTTGAACAGTTTTATAGTTGTTGAAAAAGCAGAGTTCGCATAATTTCGGACGGTAGTGTATATAGGAATATATCAATCCTCCAAGTCAAATAAATAAATTTAAAATCCTTTTTTAACGTTTCGACGTTACAACCGCCCTCTTCAGAAACTGAAAATTTTTTTATTATAAAACTTAAATACAAATCATTATTTTACATTTTTCTTTTTTGTACGGTTAATTAAAATATAAAAGTATAAAAATTATTTACCGTAAAAACGAGTGTCAGAAAGATTTTGATTACGTGACATTACATCGACGTCAACTAATAAACTAACTGGGAAACAGTAGTCTTAGACGAAAAAGAAAACAGGTGTACATTTTTAGGTCAATGAACCCATGGTAGGTGTATATAAAATATTAACATTTTGATACATTTGATAGTGAAGACTAGTTTCTGAAATTTGATTCAATATTTCCATTTAAATTATTTAGTAAGAAATATAACTAAAAATTAAAAAATTTTTATTTATATGAATAAACAAAATTTTCTTCCCCCTTATAATAACTTTTTTTCAATTTTTTTTAGAAAAGAAATTAATATAATTTTTATTTAAATTTTTGATATCATCTTTTTTGTTTAGTGGTTTCTTTTGTAAACCAATATGTATCATTTCAGAAATTAGTCTTTTTCGCCAAACTGGTTTATTGTCTAAAATCGAGATGTCATTCCAATCAAATTCATGATTTCGTACTTGTCTATGTAGAGCTATGACATTTGTTTTTGATTTTTTATGTTCCTCAATTCTCAGTCTTTATTTACTAATGTTTCTTGTGAATTAGTTTTAAAAAGTATTGAAAGA